GGGCGCTGCCTCCCGAAGAGGCAGGAGGGCCGGGGGAGCTGAAGGCTTTGGCGGCTTAAAGTGTTCCAGGGAAGGGGAGGACTCGGATGACCGACAGACACGCCGTTGTTGGCGGGTGCGCCCGCGGCGTTGTGAGGAGTCCGGGGAAGGGGAAGACTCACATGACCGGCAAGGGCGCTGCGGCCGGCAGTTGCGTCCGCGGCGCTGGCCCCCTTCTCCCGGTGGGAGGGAGACGGCCAGGAGCGTTAGAGGTCCTGGGCCTGGATCTTGGTAAGGTGGTGGGAAGTCCAGGGGATCGTAGTCGTCCGGTAAGACTGCGTGGGTCTTGGGCATACGTCGGGGGAGTGGGGAAGGGGATACCGGAGTCGTAACTGGCAGGAGGTTAGTAGAAGAGCCTGGACAATGTGCCGGACCTCTCCTTTGGGGTCCCGTGGTCACGTTCCGGCTCCCCAAGCCGCATTTCTGAGTATAAGGTGGCCGAGTCGTAGTGATGTCCAGCCATGTGAGAATGCAGGGAATCTGATCTGGGTGCCCTGGCCCTCCGTCTCCCATGACCACAGACTCAACGTCTCCCAATAACTTCAAGTCAAATGATCCTCCCGGGGGCCACCCCACGTCGAAAGTCGTCCACTCCAATTCATACAATGTTCTAAGGGTACCTGGCTTTACCGTGACACCGAGACCTGCGGCCCGTTTGGAAAAATCAGAAAAATTATTAAGTAGACATTGGAGTGGGCTGGGTGGAGTCTTGGACTTCCCTTGTCCCATTTTGTTCAGGACCTGTAACCAAATGACCGTTAAAGACATACAACAGGACAACGATGAGATACCCACACCACAAAAGACACAGCCAGACAGGACCTGACCAGAGCGGATCCAGAAACAGCCTATTCACTAACCAGGAGCGCCCCTGACGTCTCGGAGGCCGCTCAGGGGCAGACTCATACGCCGCGTCCGGTGAGTCTAAATCCCCTCCAGAACCAGAGTCTGCAGACATCCGAAACCCGAAACCAGAAACTTACCGGGATTTGAACCGTTTCCGACTCTCCACGAGGGTGGGTCTCAGAACCGGCCGGGGGCGTTCGTCCCCGACCCGTGTTCCGGGACCCGGTCTCTGTCACCAAATGATGACAATATTGCTGGGGCCTCCAAATGTTGTGGCATGGTGGAATGAGACCACTGGACACAAGCCTGGAGAGTTAAAGTGTACTTTATTTACCTGCGCAGGGACCACCCTCACAGGGGAGTGCCCCCCGAGCATCTAAGTACACCTGCTTTTATACTATTCGACCTCGCAGGGCCGATGTGCGCATGCGTAGCTTCATAGCCCAGTCTGGCTCCCTTATATGGCTATATTGTGCACTTTGATTAACTTGCTTACAAGATCTTGCACCTGTTAGCTATCTTTGCTCGCTCTGCAACCTTGGCGGTTGCTGTTCGCAGCAGTGTGGGCTGGTGCGGGCTGTCTCTACCAGCAAAAGTGGTTACAGTCCCCATCAGGGTGGGCTGGCTTGGGCCGTTCCTAGCTGCAAGCATGGTTACAGAAGCGGAAGGCTGGTTAGGACTACGTGTGTGTCTGCAAGGCAGCGATGGCTCCCTGGGGCCTAGGTCACCACAACTTCATTCTCTGCCCAGCGTTTTTTAACTTATCCAGATCACCCTGTATCTTATCTCTGCCTTCCAAGGTATTTGCTATGCCACCCAGCTGTGTGTCATCTGCAAATTTAATTATCTTTCATTGCACTTCCTCATCTAAATCATTAATTAACATGTTGCAGAGTAGCGGTCCCAGAACAGAGCCCTGCAGCACCCCGTTTGTCACCTCTCCCCAGTTGGAGAATGTGCCACTGATGGCCTCTTTGAGTCTAATGCGCCTCTTTGGGTCTAATTTTGCAGCCCGTCATTTGGCACACCCTCAGCCTGAACCCCTTTTGTTCTCATGAGTCACTGGGTTGTGTTCCCAAAAGCATCTCCAAAATGGAATTTGGCCCTCACGATGAAAGAGATTGAGACCCATGCGCTAAGAACCCGAGATCAATGCCACTGTGACCGGCAAAGGTTTGTGCAAGCTGGCCTGTTTCATCTTGCCATTATTCATAGAATCCCAGGGTTGGAAGGGCCCAGCCCTCTGCAGGACTCAAGCCGCGCATGCAGATTCTAACAGGTTTGATTGCTTACCTTCCAAGACTGGGCAGAATCATGTACTTCAGGCTCTTTGGAAGCTCTTGATAGGTTGGGAGCAGGCATTAAAGCCTCATTAACCTACTTCCCCCTCCCTCCTTAACCCTTTGTGATGCACTCCTGGTGTTGGGCCCCACCCACCTGGCAGGATTGGTGTGGCAGGAGGCTAT